GGTTCTTCTTGTTGTCTTCTGTTCCTGGGTGGGGTTGCAGAACTACTTGAGCCAGATTACTGGTCTGGGTGGCACCAGTTGGTCTATCAGAATGGAGGGTCTGAAAATATCTCATATACCAATCTTAGGTTTTACAATAGTGATGTTATCCAGAGGAGCAATTGAGGAGGTTGGGGATCTTGTGGCCTCTGCCTGCATGACCCCTAAACCATAATTTCTAATCTTGTGGCTAATTTGTTAGTTTTCTAAAGGCAGTCTGGTCCACAGGCAAGGAGGGGTTTTGTTTCAGGAAAGAGCTGCTATCATCTTTGTTTCAAAGTTGAACTATAAACTGAATTTCTCCTACACTTAGTTTGGCTATGCCCAGGAATGAACAAGGGCAGTTTAGAGATTAGAAGCAAGATAAATCAGATATCTTTCACTGTCATAATTTGCTCACTGTTGTAATTTTTGCAAAGGTGGTTTCATAATGACACAAATGGAGGGTCTTTTCCTACAAAATATATGCTCTTAACCACATTAGACAGAATACCTTCCTGTCTCACCTGTCCTCTGTGTACAATTTACATAGGTAAAAAGTCCAGCACATGTTGGGGAATTTAATGGTTTTTCTAGCTAGCAAGTGCCCAAGTCAGATGCCTGGGCCTCTAAACTCTTCTCTCCCAAGGGTCTCAAATACAGCTGTACCTACAGGCCAGGGAGTAATGAGAATGAGAGAGGCTGGGCATGTCTGAGGGAAATGGGAACAGTAGGAATGGTGGGCCTATCTAAAGGGGCAGCACTTTCTCCCACCCAGCATCTTGTTGCCTGGTGGGATTGTGTGCCCATCATGGCCAGGGTCTCTCACTGTCATAAGTTAAGCTGGCAATGTGGATTTTTATGTGAAATTGTCCAGCTTTAAATATTGGCAACTAATTAAAAAATGTGTTTAGTACTATGTGGATCAACACTGTGTGGGTGAATCACAACACACCTGAAGACCTGGCTGGGTGCAGTGGCTCACACCTATAATTCCAGCACTTTGGGAGGCCGAGGCAGGCAGATCACCTGAGTCCAGGAGTTTGAGGCCAGCCTGGGCAGCGTGGTGAAACAAAATATGCAAAAAATACAAAACTTAGCCAGGTGTGGTGGTACACGCTTGTAGTTTTTGCTACTCAGGTGGCTGAGGCAGGAGGGTTGCTTGGGGCCAAGAAGTCGAGGCTGCAATGAACCTTGATCACACCACTGCACTCCAGCCTGGGTGACAAAGTGAGACCCTGTGTCAAAAACAAAAACACAACTGAAGACCGATTCTGTCCCCACCTTCCTTCCCTTGCAGCCCTATTGGTGATATTCCTCTCTGCCCTGCTAATCACCTTTGGAGGAGACACACAGTAAGGGTTCAGGAAATATTGTGAGGAAAGAGAAGCTGGCTTTTTCCTCTGCCCTGGTCTCTTGACTTGAGACCAGAACTTCAATTTCATTCAACAGATTGGATTCAATGTTTGCCAAAACTATGCTTAAAATACAGCATAGAAAAGATTTTTGGAAGATATTTTTTTTTCAGTGTACTTTAGTACTGTCCTGTTCACTTAGTGAATCATGTGATCTTATTCTGTGTACCTCACTTGTCTTCCAAAGAGAAGTAATTATTGACATCTTCACTAAACTTTTGCAATAACTTTTGTTTTTTTGAGATGGAGTCTTGCTCTGTTGCCCAGGTTGGAGTGCAATGGCGTGATCTTGGCTTACTGCAACCTCCGCCTCCCGGGTTCAAGTGATTCTACTGCCTCAGCCTCCCGAGTAGCTGGGATTACAGGCGTCCGCCACCATGCCTGGCTACATTTTTATTTTTAGTAGAGACAGAGTTTTACCATATTGGTCAGGCTGGTCTCGAACTCCTCAACTCAGGTGATTCACCTGCCTCAGCCTCCCAAAGTGCTGGGATTACAGGCATGAGCCATCACGCCTGGCCTGCAAAACCTTTTCATGGAGAAAATTATGTAAGAATTTTTAAAAAGCTGGTAAGACACATAGCAGAGGCCGGGCCATGTTGGTTCACACTTATAATCCCAGCACTTTGGGAAACCAAGGCTGGAGGATCACTTAAGCTCAGGAGTCTGAGAACAGCCTGAGTAATATAGTGAGACCCCATCTCTACAAAAAGTACAAAAATTAGGCTAGCTTGCTGGTGTGTCCTGTAGTCCCAGCTAGTTGGGAAGCCAAGGTGGAAGGAATGCTTGAGCCTGGGAGGTTGAGGATGTAGTGAGCCAAGACAGCGCCACTGCATGCTGGCGTGGGCGACAGGGTAAGACCCTTTCTCAAAACAAACAAACAAAAGATACAGAGAAGGCCATTGCATGACATATCCAGTATATTTGGATCTTCAGATTGCTGTACTTGATCATTTGTGTACCTAAAATTCAATTAATGATGCAATAAACTGTAAAAATTATTAATAGGGATGGTATAGATGGCTTTTGTGTTGCTGTGTTGGTTTCATTATGTACAGCCATTACCAAGGTCTGATCAGATGGAAGAAATGGAGAACTAACATGCCTTGGCAAATTAAAGGCAAAAGAAAAATCAACATAACCCAAGGTGGTATCTGGGCCAGGTGCAGTGGCCCAATCGCCTGTAATCCCATCATTTTGGGAGGCTGCGGTGGGTGGATCTCTTGAGCTCAGGAGTTCAAGACAAACCTGAGCAACATGGCAAAACCCTATCTCTACAAAAAAAAAACAAAAACAAAACAAAAAAAAACTTAGCCTGGCAGCCGGGTGTGGTGGCTCATGTCTGTAATCCCAACACTTTGGGAAGCCGAGGTGTTGGATCGCAAGGTCAGGAGTTGGAAACCAGCCTGTCCAATATGGTGAAACCCCATCTCTGCTGAAAATACAAAAATTAGCTGGACATGGTGGCACATGCCTGTAGTCCCAGCTACTCGGGAGGCTGACGCAGGAGAACTGCTTGAACCCAGGAGGCAGAGGTTGCAGTGAGCTGAGATCGCTCCACTGCACTCCAGCCTGGGTGACAGAGTGAGACTTTGTCTCGGAAAAAAAAAAAAAAAAATAGCCTGGGATGGTGGTACACGCCTGTAGTCCCAGCTACTCAGAAGACTGATTTAAGAGGATGGCTTGAGCCCAGGAGGCAGAGGTTGCAGTCAGCCAAGATTGTGCCACTGCACTCCAGCCTGGGTGACAGAGTAAGACCCTGTTTAAAAAAACAACAACAACTTGTCAATGTTTTGCCTATAATATATTGGTAGTAGAGTGTGTGTGTGTGTGTGTGTGTGTGTGTGTGTGTGTGTGTGTGTGTG